CCTCGGTGGTGTTGGTCTCTTGGTCTATACCTTTGGTGGCCAAGGTCTGGGGCCAAAAACAACAACAACAACAACAACAACGCCTATAACCAGCTCAAGTCTCTGTTGGTTTCGCGATCAAGAACCTGAGATTCGCTTTTGGTCGGAAATCTTGATCAACTATCTGCCGCCTTACAAAGGGCTTGTAGATATATAAATATATATATATATATAGGTATATATATAATATGAGAATATAATTACAAGTCAGTTTCGATTTATTTATTACGTTATACTGGGGTAAATTAATAGCAAACCTTAAGGGGTAGGGGAGAGAACAAATTCTTGAAGCCAGTAATTAGTGTAATGAAAATATTTATCAATATAGGAAAAATAGGAAGAGGAAAATTAGGAATAGGAAAATAGGGAAGAGGAAAATTAAGAATTATATAATATAACATTATAAGGAAAAGGAAAAACACGAGTTAAAAGTATAAATAAATATCTAAAAAGTCATTTCAGCCACCAAGTAAAATTAAATAAACTAACCATATATATTTACTTGCAATAGTTATTGCAATTGTTTCAAAAATATTTTAAAATTACAATTTTAAAATACAAGGGTATTCTATACTATAATAAGAAACAAACAATAAAGAAAAAGATTTATGATGGCAACTTTTTGGTTAATAGAAAAGAATAGAATATATATTTATTAATATATAACTTAAATGTAAAAATCTTTTCTATTTCTTCTTTATATGAAGTATATTAATCCCTTTTCACAGATCTCTTGTTTATGGGTCTTGGGAATCAGAATAAAATTAAATTTTATTTTTAAATTTTTTTTTATTCATAAATTTAGTACTAAATAGTTTTAATTTATATGTAAATGTATAATTTTAAATATAACTAGGATTCTAAGATACCTTTTAATATTTTTTATACAACGAAACCATTATTTTTTGCAAAGGAACCATTTTTATTCATAAATTTAGTACTAAATAATTTTAATTTAAATGTAACTGTAAAATTATTTGTAAATATAACTAGGATCTTCAGAACCCTTTTATAATTTTTTATGCAACATACTCTTTTCACCTCAAAAAACCAATAAAAATCAAAAGACTTAGGACACGAACTTGCCATGCAAAAAAAAAAAAATCCCAAATAAATACAGAAAAATGCTAATAATAATTCTTGATTAAATCAAAACCTTTATATTCCTTAGGCAAAAATCGTTTATATATGTATGTATATGTATATATATATATGTCTATATGTTTAAGTTCTGGGCCAGAACACTTGCATTTTGGCCAGCGAGCGGAATTTCGAGTGAGAGTGAAGTTGGCGCAGGAACAACGCTACAGCAAAGAACAGCAAAGAACAACAACAACATGATAGATATTCTTTGGCAGGCTCCACTGAAGAAGAAGAAGGAGAAGAAGCAGAAGAAGAAGAAGAAGAAGAAGAAGCAAAAGAAGTAGCAGAAGAAACCTCTGCCAACGCCGTCGCGCTGCTAACGCCAACGTCACGACATTAACATTGCCGCTGCCTCAACGGCAAAGTCACAGTCAAAGCCAAAGTTAACAACAGGTTTTTAAGGTGCCGCTCTCTGGCTCTCACTCATCTCACTCTCTTACTCTCTCACTGAGCACTGAGCACTGAGAGAAAAAGATGGGGGGTTTGGCTTTAAGTGAAGATTTTATAATTAAATATATTTACTTGCAGCTCAACACATTTTAATTATTGAATGTCATATTACAAACCTAATTATTTTTACTTTTTAGTTATCATAATCATTATCATCATCGTCATAGTTGCAGTTTATTTTATTTGAATTATAAAATATTATATTAAAAACATTATTATTATTATTTTATAATTATTATACAATATATTCCACATCAAAAAATTTCATTTTTACTTTCTTAATACATTTATTCCTTTCAAATAATAAAAATAAAAAAATAAGCAATGTTTTTATTTAAATTATTATAATACCATTGAGTTTAGGTTTATTAGTATTATTAAATAAGTTCTATACCGCATAAATTAATTTTTTTATTTGCTAATAATAATTATTATTCTCTTCAAACAATAAATAAATAATAAGAAAATTATAAGTTATTAGACTTTTAGTAAAAACCTAGGGTATTTTTATCATATCGAACAAAAATTTAAGCTTGAAAATAAATAAATCTGTTATATATTCAACTAAATTTTTAATAGAAATCCATTTAAAATAAAATTAAAAGAAATAACAAAGATTTCTCTCAGTATATTCGGAAACGGTCTTCGTTTTTACCTTCGGCAGCGACTTGATCTTCGTTTTCAACTTCGGCTTTGCCGCTCTCCCTCTCTCTCTGTCTTTCTATCTCTGTCGTTTTTCGCTCTCTCGCCGCATACCAGCACAAAGTTAGCTGTAAATTTGTTACGTCGCCGCAGAAGAGCGTGCGTGAGAGTGTGCTCAATGTGTGTGCGTGTGTTTGTGGCACACAGGTGGGCGCTGCTTGAATTCGACGCGCTGAATTCGCCGTCGCTTACATCACTTGCGACCCTGTATGAGTATGTGTGTGAAATAACGTTAGTTATCCGTTGGCATCGCACCTGTGCGTGTTGGAGGGAGACAGCGTCTGTTGCTCTTCCTTTCTCACTCTCAGGGGCAGAACAAATCTCTCTCGCGCACTTGAGCTCTCTCTCCCTCGCTCTCTCTCTTTCTTTCTCTCAATCTTATTTGCCATTCTAAGCGCATTCTAACTGATGATCATCATCGTTCTCTGCACAGGTAAAGAGATGGGTTGGGGAGGGGGAGAGGGAGAGGAGAGGCACGACTCGGGACTCACCTGAGAGCGAGAAATGCCTGCGTTGCCAACTATTTTGCCGTTTAATTTCGCTTATATGGGTACTTTTTTTCCCCATTATACTTGCCGCTTCTTTGGCTTGTTATTTCTTCTTATTGTATTTACCGCGGCTTGGCTCTCACAAACAAACACACACGCACACACACAGAGGCACACCTTTAATGGTGATGAAATTCTTAAAGGGCCGCGGAAAACAACAAAACTATTGGAATTTTTACCTCCTTTTCATGTTACCTCCTTTTTGCCTGTATTTTTTCATTCGTTCTTTTCAATTTGAAAGCGAAACAAGAAATCAAAATCAAAAGACTTAGGACACAAACTTGAGCCGAGTGAATAATATTAAAAAAGATATTAAATTGGCCTCTAATACGGATATATACATGTTTTTAAATCCCTATCCTACCATTCCTTCAATTTTCTTATTTGGAAAATGTTAAAAAACGAAAGACTTAGGACACGAACTTGCAAGGAACTTTGATTTTTAATTATAATAGTTTAAAGGGATGTCAAGACTTTTAAGGAGTAATTTTCCCACCTTTTACTTTTCAAATTTAATCAAATCTTCAAAAGATTTGAAATTTATTTAGTAAAATTTAGTTAAAAATCGAATGAAACTAAAAAAAAAAGAAAATCAAATGACTTAAGACACATACTAAGCTTGCACTTGATTTAAATGAGTAATCAGAATAAAGCAAGAATTTTTGATTATATCTTTATAGGTATTTGGTAATATTTTCCAAGACCTAAAGGATACTTTTCTATTAAAATAACACCCCTTAAACACCTATTTCATAACTCCACCGTTTAAGGGAGCTCTAGGAAATATAAAATACTATATATACATATATATATATACAAAATCAACTCTAAGTACAACAAGTACAGCTCCAAAGAGCGCAACACACAGGCAATGGAAGATGGTAGCATTTGGGAGGAGATGGAGGAGGGAAGGCAAGACCATCTCAACCGGCAAATGGCCAAAGCAAAGAACAAGCGAAGCACCAGCTACGATCATTGTGATCATCGTTATGATCATTACCTTGACTCTGACAGAGACAGGTAGCGAGAGAGGGAGAGAGAGTGCCTCACAAAGACGGAGAGAGAGGGAGAGAGAGAGAGAGCAACGGCGAAAAACTGCATGAGAAACGTTATGTGAGCGAAATGAAGCAACGCAACGCACAAGGCACACACAAAAACACTCTCACTCTCCTCTCACAGGTGCGCCACAGGCCCGAGAGCTCACCTTTATTTATTTTTTTTTTTTTCATCATCATCGGTTTTAACTTCGGCTCTGCTGATCGCCGAAAGCGAAGCTGCTCGCTCTCTCCCTGTCTCTCTCTCGGCTTACGGTGTTTTGCAGCGAATTCAGAGCGCCGTCTAACTGAGTTTGTTGTAGCGGCGACGACGACCGATCGATGCCTGACTTTGGCCTAACTGCTCCGCCGTGCGGACCGCTCGAATACAGTAAGCAGCAAGCCGGCGTTGTGAATGCACGTGTTTTCGCTTCAACTCAACTGGGCGAAATCCCAAAACATACAAAAAAAACAACACCAACAACCAAACCAAACCAAAAAAAAATAAATAAAATTCAATAACATATAAATTCCTCAAAATATATAAACACAAAGCACATTTCGAGTACTGTGAAACAACGGAAACATATATATTATATATTTAAAAATCAAAGTGTTGTGTGTGCAAAAACCAAACAGAAACAAATACAATTTTTTTCAAGTGACGAAAGAACAAAACTGATCATCAAAATATTATAACAAAAGTACACCACATTTTTTTTCAAGTACAATTTTTGTCAAAGTGTTTGAAAACGTATTCGAATATTTTTGAAACTCAAAAACACACACACAAGGATAATTGCAAATCAAAACAAGGATAAGATCTAAGATAAAGACATGAAGAGGGCCAAGCAGAAGGCGTTCTGAGCTTCTCGCTCTCATGACACGAAAAAAAGCCAAATCAAAATTGGTTAAGTTTTTTTTTTTTTTTCAATAAATAAATCAAATAAAATTACTTAGTGGACGAGCGGCAAACAAACATACACACGCACACAATTGGATTAGTGTCACGGTGACTGTCCCTCGTCCACCCCAAAAAACACAAAAATACTCTAAATAAAATATATAGAACAAATAACAAACTCGCCAATTTCGTCGCGTGTCGTCGCCGTCGCGTTGCCGTCAATCATTTATCGTTTATCGTCAATCGTTGATCGTTAATCGCGCAAAATGCCGAAGATATTCTTGATTAAAAATCGACTGCATCAGCAGCAGCAACGTTTGTTGGAATCACAGAATTTGCTGCAACACAAGAGCCAGGATGATGAGCGGTGTCTGGTGCCACCTTTGAGTCCAAATAATGGTGGTGGAGGTGGCAGTGGCAGTGGCAGTGGTGCCGGACCTTCACCCACACCCACACCCTCACCACCGCCCACGGGACAACCCCCGGAGCCGCAAGGCCAAGGCCAAGGCCAAACGCAGGATCATGATCAACAGCCACTGAGCCTAACGCGAAAGCGTTTCCATCATCGTCGCCACTATTTTGGCCAATCGCGAAACAGCCTCGATTTGGGACACAATCAAAACTCACATCAAAATCAAATCAATCAGAATCTAAATCAAAATCTAAATCAAAGTCCCGCGGAATTGGAAGTGGAGCAGCGTTCAACAGGCCAAGTTCAAAATGGTAAGTTCTTCAAAATGGGAAAACTCTTTGAAAACCCTTCAAAATTGCCAGTCCAACTTAAAGAGAACTTTCTGAGAGAAGAATTTGTTAGAGAAAAATTCAAATTAATAAATAAGTTTAGTAAAAAATATTAGGGGTATTTTTTAAGCAAGTAAAAATAAACATTTCTTTTTAAACTTCTTTAAAGTTGTTTACAGAATTTTATAAAGTATTAAAAGACAAGGTTTAGGCAAAAAAATAATATGTTTTTGGTATAATAAGGGTACTTGTTTTGCTATTATTTTTTATATGATACTCTACAAGCATTTTTTATTAAAAATTTCATTAAGAATTATTTCTTGAAATGGAAATCTTAAGATATATATATATATATATATATCTCATAAGAAACTCCTTATAAAATCTATAGGCTTAGAAATTTATACAATTTTTTAGGCAATTTACTAATAATTGTTTATGAAACCTTATACCTTCTTCTTATTTTATATTACTCACTATCATAGGAAATTTTTCTATTTCAATTAGTTGAAATTTAAATTTTATTTAGTCAACAATCTGGAGAATATCCATTCATTTATAAATCTCTTCAAACTCTTACCCCATATTAATGTGATCTTAAATCCCCTTAAAAAATCCCCCTCACAAAAGAGATTGGTGAACAAAACAGAAGGAATTTTAATTTATTTCTATAAATAATTGCTACAAATGTGTCAGTCAATTTATTATTATTATTTTTTTTTTTTTGGCCAACAGGCAAATTGGCAAGCACAGAAAATAAAGTAGAATACAAAATGCCAGGCCATATATCTAATGCCTGAAAATCATTTCAAGCTTCACTTTTTTGGCCAGCTTTTGTTCTATTCTTTACTGTTCTTGTATTTTATTCTTATTTATTTATTTATTTATTTATTATTGTTTCGCCCACACCAAGACGATTCGCTAGGCTTCAGTATCTGTATCTATATATATTTGTATCTGTATCTGCCCTGTCTATCTTCCATTCTCTATGCAGAGCTGAGGCTTACTTCAACATCAATCACTTTCATTGAATTTCGTAAGCGTTTTTATTTATATTTTTTGTTGGCCAAAACCCAAGCCAAGAGTTCTCCCCAGTTTGTTCTGTTCTTTGGCTTTTCGTTTTCTTTTTTGTAGTTTTTCGATTTTGTTTCTTCTGTTGGCGTTATATAATCACAGCCCGCTTATTAAGTCATTTCGTTTTTCGATTTAGGCGTCGTTCACAGAGCTTGGCTTAGGTTAAAGGTTTTGAATTTTCATAAATGATTAGGCGGCAAGAACTTTCTTCGATTCGGTTGTTTATTAATTAAGCTATTTTCGATTTTTATTTGAAAGTGAGTTTCGTTTCTGCTTTTTCTGCCTGAGTGTGGTTTGTTTTTTCGTTTTTTCTCTTCGTTTTTTGCTCAAGTCTTTTGTTTCTAAGCTTTTAACTGCCCTTTGTCTGGCCTTAATTATATCTGTATTTATTTTTAACCATAGCCTGGCCGGGGCTTCACTTCAACAGAATCGTCTCACACGCAGCCTCATAATTTTTGCTTTTCTTCCCTCCCCCTGAGTTACCTTACATGGGCATTATATTTCATGGTTATAGCTTATGTATAAATATTTCATGGAGCAAAAAGTGTTATATACATTTATAAAAATTAAATAACACGTTGCGTTCTCAGTTCCTTCATCATTCTTCCACCTTCTCCATCTGGTCTATCGCCACTATCCACTTAAAAATGTATTATGAATGCTTCCGCTGTATAATTTTTTATGATTTCTGCGGATATTGTAATGGAAGCTATTTGAAGGGAAATCGTTTCGTTATGTACTTGGAAAATTGCAAAAACAAAAAAAAAATGTTATTTTTAATCAGAGGAAGCATCTTAATGGGAAAAGGGTTAAGAATCTTATTTAGTTTCATTTTTTATGCATAGAAATTGCAGCTACTTTGATAATTAGGGTTTTGGGTAGGGAATAAGATGTATTTACTATGCTTTAAATACAGTTTTGGTCACCTTCTGAAATAGATTACAAAGTAATTGCATCTGGTCACACTGCATTGTGAATTTTTATTGATATTTAACCAGGATTTAGGAATTTCTATACCTTTTTTGTTTTATAAGGAATAAATCAAATTAGTTATGTTTATTTCTTGATCATAAAACATACTCCCCCGCCTTTCATCTCCTATTCTCTTAATGATCTGCTTTAAAAATACATCTGGTCACACAACCCAGCTAACTCTTTGTTCAATTACCGCGTACGGTTTGCGTTTTTTTTTTTTTTTTTTTGTAACTCCCTATCTACTGCCAGCTATGCCCATGGCCAAGAACTTCACACACTTGAGCGAACACTCACACCACAGTAAAGACAAAAAAAAAATTATATAACTAGCAAAGTACAAGGTACTAGGAATCAAGAAAACAACAAAAGTACCAAGCAAAAGTACAAGTTTGCAAAGAAGATGAAGCCAAAGCCCAAAGCAGAAAGAGAACTTATTTTTTCCAGGCTAGACTAGGCACTGAACTTAACTTACACACAATGACTAAGATCACGATGATGATGATCACGAGGAGAGCCAAGTTCAGTGGGAGAGAGGAAAGCAAAAAAAAAAAAAAAAAAAAAAGGCAAAAGGAGGAGGAGGATGAGGATGAGGACGCTGGGTGGAGTGCATTGTAGGCACAATCGTCTGCCATTTGGCCTAAGCAAAGTCAAGGCAACTGGCCATAATAAAACTTGTAGAACCAGTCAAATGGAGACGAAAAAGAAGAAGCACGAAGAACGAACGAAGAACCACCAGAAGAACGCCCAGAAGAACAGAAAGGCTGAAAAAGAACACAAAACTCTGGTTAAAAGAGTGCTCTAAAGGGCCTTGGAGGATTGGAGCCACACAACACACACACAGACACACATTCGCCAAAAAAGATGGCTAAAACGATGCCCGAGAAAATTATGCATATATATCCATATATATATATATATATCTATATAGATCTAGAAAATGCTGCAATATACATATATAAAAGTTATGAGCTCGACTTCCTGTTACATTTTTCTCTCTATCTACCATCAGCGATCTATCTTTCTTTACTCTCTTTGGCCCGCTAGTAGTAAAAGTCAATAAATAATCGAAAAGGAAATTCATTGATCGACCGATCAACGATAAAGAAATTGCCAAAAAATGGGAAAAGGGAAGAAGAAAAGGAGAGCGATCCATGCAAATTCTGCAGCTGTTAGAAGAAGAAACAATAAAAACAAGAAGGAAAGTTCAATTGCACGCAGCTTACACGCAGATGTTGCAATCCTCGAGCGGAAGTCAGCGAAAGGTTCCCTCCAAAAGATTGTGACCCTTCTAGACAGAGATACGGATACCAAAGTGCCGGGAATTGGTAAAAGTTCAGCGAACCCTCAGTAAAACAACACTTAACTCCAAAAGCAAAAGTCAAGTGTGGTAAAATGAGGTAAAATGCAAAAAGAAACTATTACTATTACTCCATAGGTAAGGGGATTTTCTATGGAAATCGAATCTCTGTCTTCTCTCTCTCCTTTAGAGTTCTATTGTTTATTCAATTAAGAGTTACCCTGATCGTGGTTCGATGATCAAGAACATTGCCAGCTAATTGGAGTTGAGATGTGGAATCTTTAGCTTAGATTGAGCATATGTAAATGAATCGAATGTTCAAGTCAGGCCTCAGATTTTGGGTTAGCTTTTTTTCGGGTATTATCTAAGATTGTGAGGGATACTTATTTATTATTTAGCAGGGGAAATGTCGTTGAAAGACATCTTCATAAAAATGTCAAGAGAACGTTTCTTTATTTAAATTTGGGGATATCAAATTAATGTTCTTTTAAGGAAACATGGAAAATGTTAAGAATATTTTACATTTAAGCTTTAAAAAAGTTCGAAAATTAAGGTTATATATAATATAACATTAAATATATTTCATTTCAAATGTTTAATTATGAATAAATTGAAATATCTGAGATTTTAATTAAATGAAAATTAAATACAATTTTCATTAATTATATAAAAGTAAAGTTTAAAAAATACTTTAGAAAGCACCTTAATAAAAATATATTATTAAACTCACAAGGAACTGTTTTTCAAAGAAAAAACTAAAAGAGGATATGTTTATTTAATAAAATTGTATTTATTTAGCTGAAGAATATATTAAAAAATTATATAATAATTTTATTGTAATTTAATATATTTTTTATATATTTATACATAAAGTTTCTCATCATAAAAATCATCAAGTTAACTTCCTAAGTAACTTGATTTCACATTTCCCAAAAAAATACAAGTTCGTTGCCTAAGTCATTTGATTAAATACCGCATTTTCCAATAGGGAGTAAAAATTCGCTTCGTTTGTTTTTCCTTTTACTTCGGTTTTCTCCTTTAGTTCTCTCCTCCGTCGTTCTTCTGTATATTTTCCTTTTTTTGGCATTAGTTTTACCTGCCTTTGCCACTGATAAAACAATGCACTTGGTTGTGTGTAGGTGTGTTTTGTGAGGGGGTCTACCTGTGCCAAGGGTTCCTTTTTAATCTCACAAACCAACAAAAAAAAAAAACGATATTTGACAATCAGAGGAGGAAAAGAAGGAAAGCAAAATACAGAAAAATATACACACAAAAAAAGGGCAACAAGAGAATCCTGCAGACACACATACACACCTTGATAACATTTAAAGCTGAGATTTATTTGTGCAGTGAATCAACAACAAGCAACAAGAATACACAGCACAAAGGAAGCCAGCGATGGGTTAGGGGGAGAAAGAGAGAAAGAGAGAGAGAGGGAGAGAAAGAGAGGCGGAGACAGAGACAGAGACTGAAAAAAACAGGTCTCAAGTGCTGCCAACCGAGGAGGAGAAGAAGAAGAAGCAGCAGCAGAAGAAGCAAAGTAGGAAGAGGAGGAGCAGCGACAAAGAGAAGCAGCGAAAAGAACGTAGAATACATTTGAAAAATAATAATAAGAGAAAAAGAAAAAAAGGAAGCG